ACATTTTTTCGTAGACAAAAGTATCGTTAAAGACAGCGTTCCGTAACACTTCATAAGGGGGATAATCACAGCCGATTTTTACGCTCTTTGAATATTTTGCGGAACGATGAAATTGCTAGGTGTTAAGCATCCATTTTGCATGGAAAGTAAAATTTAGATGTTTAGACGATTCCGCCATAGAAAGCAAGTAGACAAAATCAGTTCAAAATGTCTTATAATTAGGTTAACTTTTTATATTTTTTTCTACCACTGAACATTACGTTCACTGAATTAACCAAGCCCAGCAAAAAAAGTTTTACGAGGATGAACTGAAAATAATGCTGTATCGCATGCACTAAGACACTATCTATTAGGGGAGCCAGTGAAAATTTGCAGCCACTTGCAGCCCTGGCATCCAGACACTTTTTTCTTCTAAGGGTTGGCCGTGGCTTGGTGCACTTGAGCACAAGTGGTAAATGCCCCAAAGGGTGTTTTCGCGATAGCTCAAAACACCCAGGCAATAGAGAGCTGCAACCTGGCATACCTGACCTTTGATGCACGCTGGATCTTGTGACACCAACCGCACTTTCAAGTCAGGTCAGGTCACTGACCTATGACGTCATACATGAACCTCTGCACGATCCTCAGATGTCGCAACCTTGCAACGCTCTCAGTGCCAGAGTAACTTTCACAGGGAGGTGAGACTTGCAGGACTTATTGTCCTTTAGAGGTCTTATAGCTTTTATATCTCAGATTTTTCCTAAATGTCACATAAAGTCAGGTTGGTCACGTGACCTCACCTATAAGTCAATGGGGAAATATGAAAACTGTTATTTTGGCGCCAGGAATGATATTTAATTGTCTCAAGTACATGGAATCGTTACTTCATGCACTCCTTGCAAGATCTGATGCTGCATTTTTGCATTGTTGACCTTGCATGACGTCATTTATGACGTCACTAGGGTCATACGAGTTTATCGTCAATAACTCCCGATCAAATTGAGCTAGAGAGTCGACAAGGTCACCAATGGACTCCGGAAGACCTACCGAATCGAATGATATGCGATATGACCTCCTTCGACCAACTTCGTGATTTGAAGACCTCTGACCTGACCTTGACTCGAGGTCAAGGTCAGGTTGACCTTACGGTGGCCTCATCTGAACAAAAGTATACCATTCGACGCGCCTGATCAAGGCGAACACGACGATGTCAAAATCGTGGTTCTGCGGCCATTTTTTGCGAAGTTATTTACCAAAAACCAAACCCGCTGCTTGGGTCACGTTATGAAATGGGGCCCTGCCGGGCGAGATTTACGCTGTTATGTATAAATTGGTAGGGCATAATCGTTTGAATAAAAAATTGGTTTGGAAGCAATTTTCTACGCAGGTACACACCATTTCAATGTCCTACCCAGCTCATACCGTCATCAATTTTGACCTACCCTCAAAAGTATTCATGCGTTATTCGAGCAGCAATTAGGCAAATTGCAAGCTCGCCACAGAGCACAAATCCTATAAGAGATAGTCCTTATTTAAAACATATGCTCATTGGATATTCAAGAAGGTTGCTCCTAAATATTGTGGTTCTAGCTTCAAAAACATGGATGTTATGAATGCCGATAGGTTTCGCGAGGCTACAGCGGCCGGATCGCCCACTGTGCGACGGGGGGGGGGGCGGATGACCGCCCCCCCTGAGATCTGGAGAACGAAGCAAGATAGCGACAAGCGGTAAACGGCATCGGATACGCACGGCCAAGATCTACAATTTTTACGAAGGTCATTTTCAGGTCAGGTCAAAGATGACGTCACAGGGGTCGAAAAAGTCAAAATGGCGGCGCTAGATATGGAGAGAGTTTTTCTCGAATAACTTTCGAATTAGTCAAGATAGGAACAACCTAAGGGCATCATCGTGATCCTCTCGTCAATCCGCATCGAATGATATATATGTTGACCTCGAAAGGTCAAGGTCAAAGGTTGACCTCAGGTCACGTGACCTCGAGGTCATCATGTATATCATTCGATGCGTCTTGACGAGCTGAACACAATGAGACCATCCACGCGTCTGTATCTTGTTCCTGTACGGAGTTATTGGCCAAAAACCTTTGGTGACCTTTGATGACGTCACATGACCTCACAGCTGCCCAACAGCAAAACAGACCTCAAGGTAGTGAAGGCTGATCGTATATGAAGTCATGTATGGTATATGGGGCCATTCCGACCCGTTTTAGTGGTAAAAACAGGGAGTTGATTTTTCCCCCATTGACTTATAATGGGGAGGTCGCGAAATTGACCTGACCTTAGGTCACCGATATCAAAATTCCGAGATATACAAATTGTAGCTACTAATGACCTAATAACATCCTGAGACTTTCAAAGGCCTCCGACATCTACTGTAGCTCTGGCACGGTGACAAAGTTGCAAAAAAGTGACTTGAGGTTGGGTCATTCAAAGTGACCTGGTGACCTGACCTAAAAAAGGTAGGAGGTTCAAACTTGCACACCATGTGTAAAATTGATGAGGTTATAGTCATACCAAATTTCGCGGCGCTACGCGCCGCGGTTTTCCCGCTATTCGCGAAAAACCTCAGGGGGGGGGGGCGGATATCCGCCCCCCCCGTCGGTGCGCGGGTTAATATTTTATGTTCCTTAGTTCGGCCTTTCATGTGCGTGGAGTCAACTCTCGTGATCACTGTGCAGGTTTTCGGCTCACTGTGGACAGAAATAATTGCAGGAATGCGTCTTTCTTCTTCCTTTCTTATCTGCCTCTGTCAATGCTTCTGTCTCTGACTTTGTACCTGCTCTCTCTCTCTCTCTCTCTCTCTCTCTCTCTCTCTCTCTCTCTCTCTCTCTCTCTCTCTCTCTCTCTCTCTCTCTCTCTCTCTCTCTCTCTCTCTCTGTCTCTCTCTCTCTCTCTCTCCCTCTCTCTCTCCCTCCCTCCCTCCCTCCCTTCCTCCCCTGTTCTCTCTGCCCTTGCTGTCACCCTCTCTCTCCCTCTCTCTCCCTCCCTGCCCCCTTCCCTCCCCTCCCCCTCCCTCTCCCTCTCCCTCTCCTTCTCCCTCTCCCTCTCCTCTCCATCTCCTCTCCATCTCCCTCTCCCTCTCCCTCTCGCTCTCCCTCAGCTCACATACCGCTCACGCGCCACCCAGCCGGCTCGTGCGCGAGTGACCCGAGAAAATCGTTGGAGCGACAGTTTGCAAATGAGGTCGTCTGCACATACGGGCGTCATCGTTTTTCGGCCGATCAATGGAGGTGTCGCGGCGCGAGAGGCCCTGTGGACCCAGCTCTTCAGGACCGGCCACGTCCAGAGGGTGACGGACGCGACAGACAGAGGGAGAGGAGACTAAAAACCGAGAGGAGAGACGGGAGACGGAGACAGAGACAGATGTGGGAGTAGGCGGTCCTTCGTAGGCGCTCTGGTCAACAGTATGTAGGCTGGTGGAAAATAACTAAGATGAGAAAGAAACCTGCCTCAGCCGAAGGCGATGCAATTTGGAGTTCAGAAAACCTTGCGGCGTCGCTTTGTACGATTGTTTCCACGCCAAACCATGCCGATGATAAATGATCAATCGAAATTTCCACAAAACGCTCTGGAGATTTTATCATGGAGAGGCGCGCACAAAAACTACTGATTTGATTGTGAGAGGCTATCTTAGCTCGTAAATATAACATCCAAAATAGAGTAATCTTAAAACAGATAGTGATATAGCTTTTAAGGAGATTAAAATCACTTTACGTGCTATCGGAGATGAATATATTTGTCTAGAGCGAATATTGAATGCGATAAAAGGCTCCAAATTACTGCAATAAAACAAGATATACTACGGCAATAAATATTATTTTTCCGTAAGAAATACATTGCCAGATGTAGTTTCACAGAATTCGAACAGCAATGTGTGCAGAGCACAATGAAGGAAATCACAAAAATACCCTGCATGGCAATAAGTATTTGGTACGGGGTGACAGTCGGAAAATCGCAGATCGCTATACGGGTTGATGGAAATATGCCAGTCACTGCCACAGCAAATGCCAAAGCAGCATGTCTAGATGAGGAAAATCACCAAGCGTCTCCCATCTAATCTTAGTGGAGCAAGGGTGAGACGCGAAGGGGAAGAAAGGATACATAAGTGGGAAAGATTGGATAAGGGGACGAAGGAAGGTGAGCCGCAAAGGAAAAAAGTGAGGGAAGAGACATTATACGATGAGAATAATCTGAGAAAGCTTGAACAGAGAGGGAGGAAGGAAGAGAAGGGAGAGCTTCGGGTCGTTCTAGTCCCGTCGCTGCCGAGACCGTCGATAATCCTCGGAGCGCGGCTGGCTGATTGGTTATTGTGTCCGCCGCTCAGGAGCGCCGTCGGCACCGGCGGCGGCCCGGGACAATCCCCCGGTCGCCGGCGGGCGGATGTCGGAGACCGGCGCACCGTTAGCCGGGCGGCCGACGGCTCCAGGTCAGCCCCGAGGCAGGTGATCGCCCTCCGGTGCAGCTGCTGCCCAGACGAGAGCGGCTTCTGTCTGACCCGAGGCCGAACAGCACTCGACTTTTTGCACCAATGTCCGATGTCCTTACGTAACTTATAGGCAGGTAAGACCTACAGATCAATGTGAGACGATCATAAGATAGAGAGAGAGAGAGAGAGAGAGAGAGAGAGAGAGAGAGAGAGAGAGAGAGAGGGAGAGAGAGAGAGAGAGAGAGAGAGAGAGAGAGAGAGAGAGAGAGAGAGGTTGTGAGTTTTGTTACCTTTTAAAATGGCTGATGCCCGCCATTTCGGTTAATTTATGCCGGAAATGTCAGGTGTTCCTGACAGATAAAAGAGTCGTCTGACAGTGGCTGGCAGTCACGCCATCTTTGGAAGAATATGCCGTGCTGAGAACCTGGAGATGTTGCGGCTACATTAACCGCCACCACACGGCGGAAGGTGGAAATGAAATAATATTTATTTCATAAAACGGTTGCCAACAACAAACTAAAAAAGGTGAAGCATTAGCTGATGATATACTGGCTAGCAGATAACCGAGGGTACTCACCATTAGTAACCCCTTATAAGCGTATATGCAGCCGACAAAGACAGTCATCTTGTGCGACTTGCAGTACTCGTTCTCTGGTATGATAATGGCGTCGTCGTTCTGAGGGTGAGGCTGAAAAGGCAGGCGGCGCTGTCAGGCTGTGGCGATGATTATCACTTACCTCTGGCAAGATAGCACAGCCAGAGTGAAAAAGAAGAGAGAAAGAGAGGGAGGAAGAGAGGAGAGGGAGGGGAGAGAGCATGGTGATCAAATGGAAAATTCTCAGAATGTGGATAAGACAGACTGATATAATAAATAAACATACAGAAATCTACATGGAAAGAAGAAAACCCGCTAACGCATCAGCACCATCAATAAAGTAAGAGGGGCCGAAAAAAAACACATCCAATCAACGTCATTGGTCCGTACTTGTCCCCGTGCGCCGGTCTAATGAATAGGTGTCCTGCCTTTGTGATAAGGCCGGGCGACCGGCGGCCGGCGGCCGTCTGTCGTCAGGTATGGGCACGTGTGGCTCATTCAGGTGCGCCGGCACGCGGCAGCTCGATAGTCTGTTGCCAGGCGACAGAGCTGCTTCCGCGGCCGCTGCGGCGGCCGCGCGGCTGGCCTGTGTCACAGGCTGAGGTCACCGGTCAGAACTAACTGACCAGCTGATGTGGCGTGAGCGTGCCGCTGGTCGCTGTCCGTACAGAGTTGCTGGGCTGTGACAAGGGTCACTTAGGGTTCTGCTCAGGATACACTGAGGGGTGTCGCTATGGGTGCCGCTGGCGAGGGGAGGGAGGGGTCGGCTAGCAACGCCGCTGACGGGTTTGGAAGTTTTATTACTGTGTGCTGGATCGGACAGTTCTCAGTAGACCGAAAAAGAACTCTTCGATTCACGCAGGGTTCACTGGCTCGCTGTGACCGGACAAGGCTCGCTCGGACCAGAGATGACTTTCTGGCTCGCTATGATTGGACACAGCTCTCTCAGACCGGACAGGACAGGACTCTGTCAGACCGGATAGTTCTCTGTGGCTCTCTCAGACCACCGGACAGAGCTCTCTAAGACCACCGGACAGGGCTCTCTCGCACCGAGCCACGCTCGCCCTGACGGCGTCTGGCGCCGTCGTTCCCGTCGTCTGATGAGCCGGAGACGGGCCGCGTCGGCTCCGACGGTGCCGATGATGACAGCGCGGCTGTGGGCGTCCGGCTTTGTCGCAGGGCCACGCAGCCCGCCCGAAATCGGCCAATGACTCCGTCCCGATGGACGGAGGAGCTTCAGTTGCTGAAAGGGAGCCGGACTACTCTCTGGGCGCGGACCACCGCGAGAGGCACAACGGCCGGAGGGCACGACTGGCGGTCCCTCAAACAGACTGAGGGACTGTGACTGTGGGGGAGGGCCGTAGGAGCAAGTATGTGGGTACTGGGCTGTGGGAAATGTAAGTACTGTAGGAACTCACGAGACTGATTGAGTGTGGGAATTCGAAACTCCGTGGTAGCTCTAAGTCTAGCGAATTCATTTGCTGTCAAATATACGGTTAGTGTAAACCGAAAAAGACAAAGCCTGTGTGATGTAAAATACATCGAGACCATCACTCAGCGATCCGCTATACTCACATATTGTCCGAGTTGCTTGGTCTCCCGGTAGAACGGATCGACGATCTGCCAGGTGGTCATTATGGCAATGTCGATAGAGAGCAGAACTCCGACCACAATGTACAGCTGGTAGTCCTTGATGACCTGAGCACGGAGGGCAATCGGCTGTTATTCGTCCGGCTGACAGGAGAGATATTGATTTGAACGGCTGGTTCCGGGTTTTGTTACACAATGCGAGTCGGAACCCGAGCCGACAGCGCGAACTGCATGCACCTTTAGTTATGGTCCTTGGCAGGCATGCCAACAAGGCGCAAAGGCAATTTACGACATGCCTGAAGGGCGTATGGCTCATTCGGGTCCACCGAGTTGTCGATAAAATCAGCCCTGACCGTTGTTTGGGTCAGTTGGGCGATTGGCTATTGGCGTAAGGCGCTACCGCCATTAGGTAGACTGCTGGCAAGCTGCACCGTAGCAGTCGCATGATGGCTGCCACTGAAACTGGCTTCCGAGTGAACAAAAATACCGGCAAACAATGCATTCCGGATATGAGATATATGTAGAATATAGATACCAGTATAACGCCTTTGGGGGCGACTAACGGAGCGCGCGAGAGGGTGGGCCTTGCACGTGCGAAATTTCGAGGGGGTACCTCCAGCTGACTTGTGCACGGCACCCTACAAACCGGTCTCTAGCGATGTGCCAAATTTGAGCACAATCGGTCCAGCCGTTCTCGAGATCTGGAAGCGGCACCCTGCACGTGCGCACGTGCAAAATGGGTCCCAACTGACTTGTGCACGGCACCCTACTAACTGGTCCCTAGCCGTGTACCAAATTTGAGCGCCATCGGCCCAGCCGTTCTCGAGATCTGGAAACGACCCCTGCACGTGCGCACGTGCAGCAGCACCCCAACTCTGGCACATGGATATGCAGTGCCTAGTGGGTGCCTACCTACATGCCAACTTTCAGCGCAATCGGCCAAGTAGTTACCGAGATATTGCAACAATTACAAAAGTGACACCTCTTCGTTTTGCACGTGGCACGTGCATAAGGGGTCACCCACATGCAACGGGAATAGTCCAATACTTGGTAGAAGGAATGAAGCTACCCTACAAAAATTACCGCGTGTAAATCGGTCAAGTGGTTGCTGAGATATAAGCCTCGCAAAAGCGTCCGCACGGCCGGCCGGGAAAGACTCCGCTCGCTTCGCTCGCTCCGTAATTAAGGACAAGTGATAAGGTCACCAACAGAATTGTGTTTATTATTGATGCGAGTAACTTCAATTATTGTATTTTTATAGCGCCAAACATGGGGCCAATTTCTTTTCCCTTTGGACTGCCATGTATGCCGCGGCATTCAGTTCTAATGATGACCACAATAATTGCCACAACTGTACGCCCGGGACTCGCCGGTCCGAGCGCCGCACGCAATCAATATAGTCGTCTGCTGCTGGGCGGCTTAGTGGCTATGCCGAGCGCATCGGGTTCCGATTCATCACATATATTGATGGGGGACGGGGTGGGCTGCGCTGTCAGCTCCAGACACAGAGACACGGGAACAGAGACATACACAAACACAGACACGCAGACACACAGACGCGCAGAAACGCAGAAATGCATAAACAAGCTCAGATATGGAGAGTTAAGTCACAGATGCATAGACACACAGAAACGCAGACACGGAGAAACATAGAAACATACCCTTAGACATATCATCGGTATATTCGGACACACGTAGCACGATTACAAAGAGGTGGCGACAGTAAAAGGATGTTTTTTGTTGACACATGTATCTACTAGGTCTAGAAATGACCACCAGTCCCTGTGGACAACTGATTATAACTATTCATGGTAATAACGTGTCTGAAGACAGGTAATAGAAACAAGCACAAATGGATCCGCTGTTTTGCAACATAAGGAAGCGATTTTCTTTCGTCTTGTAAATTATTTTTTTTCTTGTGTCCGGGAAACAGAAAACCTTGGCTAAAAAACGTTTACAGCTGTTCGTTCCTGATCTCCGACAGTGTGCCCGGAAAAGAAATAATATATCACATAATTATGCAGCCACCAGCCGCTGTCAGCCGGGAGAACTTTACAAAAGGTCTGCCGGCAGACAATGGGCGGCCTGCCTGGCGCCGTACGGTGCAGGACGACCATAACAAGTCCGCTGCTACGCCAGACGGTCCGCGGCCGGCAGACGCGCTCCCTTTGTCCGCTCACCTTTTTGTTCAGCTTGACGTCCGTGAAAATGGAGTGGACCCGCCACGTCTTGGAGAACATGGAGCCGAATGCCAGGGTGAAGCCGGCCATGAGCACCCAGGTCTTGGCGGCGCACACGACGGGGAAGGACTCCTCAGAGGTGAGGCTCGAGTCGAGACCCAGCAGGATCACAGACGTGTACGTCAGGATGCAGCCGATGATTATCAGGTTGTTGAGGTACGGAGACGACATCTTGATGTACCTGTCGAAGGAAGACAGATCTGGTTAGAAAACTCATTGGTAGAAATCAATGAGCAATGTGCTAGAAAACAACATGATGAAGACCAAACAAGCACCGTGTCACATATTTACGAAGACTGGAGGGCTCTGATTTTTTTTCGTTCATCTTCAGTGAAAGAAGGGCCCATGGAAGCTGTTCGCGTGAGTCACGTGTCATGCCCATGACAACCTTCAAGGGTTGACTGACGGCTGCGTGCCTCTCAAATTACTACGTCGTTGATGCGTTAAATTGTTCATCTGCGTCCACTCAATACGCTTCGCGAACGTTCATCAGCCGAATAATTTTACTTACTAACTTACTACATATATCCGAAGTAGGCGCCTCTGCTTTATAAACTGTCTCACACTACCTCCCATAACATGCTGTAGACGTTATTTGTGACAAGGGGATAAAAGTCAGGCTTGGGTTTACTAGCAGAATCCTGGCTTCATCGAGCACAATATTGGATTGAAATAATGCAATAAAATGAAGTAGCAAAGAGCCACGGAAGCAATAAAACGCTGTAACAATGAAGCTACCGGGAAATTAATATCGATCAGTTAGATATACCATACAAGGATAGGAAAATACATTGGCAAGTGGTTTTCAGTATAGTCGAGGATGAGTTGATATCTTGTTCCTCATATCAGTCCCTCACAGTGTCCCTGACAGCTCTGACCACCGTCCAGCAGTCAGTCGAGCCGGTGGCTCAGCTGAGCCCGTATAATGCACAGCTTTGTCCAGTCGGTAGCTGAGTGATGGAGGTCCGCCGCCGCCGCCCACCCCGCCGCGCCGGCCAGCAGCCAAACACGGCGGTATTTTCCACTATGCCCGACTGTCCAGCAGAGGAGACCACCACGCCGGCCCGTCCGCAACGAATGGCGTACGTCGGAGCCGGACCCGCTCCCAAAATTGATGCGATCTCTTCAGACGAACGAAATTGCTCTCCTGAAGTTCCGCCTTTGCAAAGAGCGACTCGATGGTTGAGCCAGACATCGTGTTATATTTTATGTAGGCGTTCTGGTTAGGTGGCTGCATGGGTTATGCGCATCCACATCGACAAAATCAATAGGACGGATGAACGAAACAGCCAATAGCGATGCAAAATATCCCCAAAGAGAGGCCGTCTCCATAAACTTTACCACGCGTATTTTGACTGGCATTGCGCTCGATTGAACGGTCGTTTGAAGACTTCTTGCGCGGCTGTCTTCGTGTCTGGCAGGCAATATTTCCATTGGGCCGGGCCAGTCTGTCATTCCAGGATTGTTCGTCATGCGCTCGGCAATAGTCTGTAAATTTATGACTCGCGGAGTTCTCTCCAGACCGTCTCTCAACTTCCTCACGCACTCAGTGTACCCCGTGCCCGTCTCGTGAGATCCCGCGCCGTCTCGTTCCCTTCGTTCCAGGCCGTTCGTCCCGTTCGTGCTGTCTCGAATCTTCGCATTGCACTTCACTGCAATGGGAAGCGGCTCCCACTGACAGCGGTGCCCCCCCCCCCCTTCACGACACACACGGGCCGGCTCCAAACCCCACCCGACCTCAGCCCGCTCCCGGTCCGCCCCCTGAGGCCAATGAGCCGCAGCCGACCGTCACCGGTCCGCCGGCCGTCTGAGCCGCGCTGAAGGCTCGTCTTCCCCGCCGAGGTGGCGGACCGTCGCCGCCGCCACGACCGACGATCCGCCGCACGGTGGGCCGCCACCGATTACCGCGGATCGGCAGCGCCCGCGGCGGCAGCGTAAGATGGATGTGCGACATGTTTTTGCATTCCGACGACGCGGAAAATACCGCAGGCTCACCAGCGGTGTTGTTGAACAGGAGTTGGGCTTGAGCTGCTCAGCAATAACCAAAAAACTTGGCTACTTAAACCGGTAAGGTCAGAAGTTTTTCACATGCAAGTTGTTAGGGTGTGTGCCGTGTGGTAGCTCTTGTGCCCACATATCATATTCATAATGCACAATGAATCTTGCTATGGGTATTGGGTAGGTAGGTTTGAAATCAGCATAAGCCCTCGTTTTCATGTTTTCCGAAATCCACATTTTTTCTTGTTCATAATACATAAGATGAAATACTTTTAATGCGAAAGTTACTCATCCAATTATACAGCAAACAGTTTTCTGTTTCATCTCTTTGCTATAAAATGTCTCGTTAGCATATGTAAATATAGTATTCTCGCTTGTCACACATGTTTTCAATCATTTATTGACGATTGGTGACTGAGTTGTGGTCAGCCGCTGCGCTGAATTTGCAGCTATTACCAGCCGCGTCCCTGTATGCCGCGCGAGACAGAGATCGTGTTTACCTGGAAGGTAGGCTGTGCCGCACAGCTCGCGTGCTCGGCGGGACAACATACCTCCCAGCGTGATCCCACACTACGACCGCCACACTCCGCAGCAAGCTGAATGGCGTTGTAATCCATCCATCGATATTGTCACCTGTCCGTGCTTCTATCCTCAGGATACTGAAATCCTTCTCCTCCACGCCACAACCCCCTTCCGGGCTGGACAGGCAACTTTATCTCATGCGGGCTGCTCCCTTGGAGCGGCACCGCTGCTCCCGAGGGAGCGCACCCCGTAGCCGGGTGCAGTGAGTGCCTTGGGGCTGGGTGGCCTGTCCTCTGGACGGGCTCAGCCCCGGCGACTCACTAGGGTGCCTGCCCAGACCAATGTCTCCCCCTAAATCCTATCATCCTTCCGGCTCTGCAATGGTCTTGTCGACCGAAAGGGCCTAACCCAACAAAACAAACAAACAAAAAAACAAACAAACAATCGATATTGTAATATTCAAGACGAAAATGGTTAATTCATATTTAAAATGAATGAAGTTATAGCTTGTAGCATGCAATGTTCAGCCAGCATCAAACAGCGAGGCAGCGCATGCTGGTAGGTAAGTCTTCCTTGCTCCATAAAATTGAACAAATGGAGCATTTGAAGTTGCGGCGCTTTGTGAGGGAAATTGTCAAAGTGTACCGGACTTTATTATGTTCCGCGTTTATGAGCTGTGCCTCTCAGCAAATTTAACGACCCATAAATTTGAGCGTGGGTAGCTACGGATAGCGTACAGGTGGCAAATGTTGTCTTCTGTTGAAACGCGGCTCGGAAAAACAGAATTTAGTAAGTAGGTACTAGCCCTCGCCGGCCGAGGGGGGGCGGGTGCCGCCCCCCCATAGGGTTTTTTTCGCGATAGCTCCGAACACGCTGGCGATAGAGAGCTGAAACTTGGCATACCTGACCTTTGATCCAAGCCGAATCTTTTGACACCAACCGCATTTTTGGGTCAGGTCAGGTCACTGACCTATGACGTCATAAGTGAACCTCTGCACGGTCTTCAGATGTCGCAACTTCGCAACGCCCTCACTGCCAGAGGAGATGTCGCAGGGAAATGAAACGTGCAGGATCTAGTATCCATTATGAGTCCCACAACTTGTATATCTCGGATTTTTCCTAAAGGTCATATGAGGTCAGGTCATTTTCGTGACCTCACCATTATAAGTCAATGGGGAAAAATGAAAACTGCTATTCTGGCGCCGGGAATGATCTCCAACTATCTCAAGCACACAGAATCGTGATTTGATGCACTCCTTGCAAGGTTAGACGCGTCACTTTTGCAATGTTGACCTTGCGTGACGTCATTTATGACGTCATCAAGGTCATATTAGTTTTTCGTCAATACCTCTTGATCAAATTGAGCTAGCGAGTCGGGAAAGCCACCAATGGACTCAGGAAGGCCTGCCGAATCGAATGATATGCGACATGACCTCTTTCGACCAACTTCGTGACCTGGGGGTGCTGACCTGACCTTGACCTGAGGTCAACACCCCAAGTTGACCTGACCCGGACAAAAAGTATATCATTCGACGCGCCTGAGCGAGGCAAACACGATGCTGCCAAAATCGGCGCTCTGCGGCCGTTTTTTGCGAAGTTATTCACCAAAAACTGAACCGTACCTTGGGGCACTTGACCTGACCTCAGAGGTCACTGGTTGACCTAGGACCTTAAAATCGGGTACCAATCTCTGCGTCTCGTAACGGCGCACACGCTCGTTTTTTCCGCGACGCGCTAGCTTCACCAGGGGCGAAACGGCGAGGGGGGGTCGTACCCCCCCCTCGGCCGGCGTGTATGTAGAAAAAGAATAGGTCCGGCGAGGGCTAGACCTGTTTGAAGTTCTTTTTTATCTAGGTATACTCTGAGTGACGTCTTGATCAACGTGTTTACGATAGGTATGTAACAAACAGCTTCGTACCCGCTATTTCACTGCGAGGAGCAATGCGGTTTTATGGTGTGACTTGTAAGACGCCAATTATAGCCGCCGATGAGTTCTTAAAAAAAAAAAGATATTTCAAAGTAGGTACGTATGAAAGGCATTCAGGCATTCAAGGTTCATATTCGGGTACTCCGCGGCTTCATCCACACCATGAGAGGCTTTTCAGTCGCCATACCTCCCTTACACAGACTATTCAGTATTCAGCATCCATGAAGCCTTCCACAAGTAGAGGCACAACACTCGTTTTCACATCGACTGCCGGCTGACGGCTCGTGCAAACACTTGCATCTCGATCCGCGGGGAAACAATGATAACTTCAGTCTGTTCCATGTCAAGCTTGCGTCCGAAGTACCCTGCTGATAGCAGTGCGTGATCTCGGCACACACAGCTCTTACATTCAAAGACGCAAACAGACGCAAATTATTGAACGGAGGACTGAGGAGTGAACTGCCGAAGGAACTCAGACATATGGCCTTGACTCAGACCGCAAGCGTGATGTAGAACAGGCTATGTATAGCTGGGTGATAACCGACAGGACTATGTTCAGCACGCGGTAACTTGTCCGAAAAAATGGTCAGGTAAAACAAAACAACAGACTCCTAATTCAGAAGAAAAGGTCATTCGCTCTCTTGATAACAATGAAAGGTAATAATGCCGATGGATGGATTGTTGGTGGCGTGGCAGAACGACTGCTCACCAACACATTTGCCAATGCATCGATAACTCGATACCATGCCGATGGTTCAACAGCACACCGATAATTCATGCTGGCGCCGATATTTCACCAGTCATCATCAAATGGGCGCCAGAATCGACCCATGCTGACCGTTCCCCGATACCGTGTGTCCCTGACACCTCTGACAGCTCGCTGTCTGACACCGCCGGCTGAAAGGTGTCAAGGGCAGCCGCTAATCGGTCGACCCCTGACCCTCCGCCAGCCGACAGCGCTACCACGCCGGTCTGAGGCACGCCACATTACCGCAGCCTGCGGCGGAGATCACTGGCGGCTGGAAAAGGTCACACACGATCCAGACACAGTCTGCCCTGAGAAAACGGCCGACGCTGCTCCTGAGCCCCGGACCCAACAGCTGCCGACCCATTCACCTGGCAGAGCCGCTTTGGACCGAGAAAATTAGGTATTTAATTATCATGGCTGGATGAAATAGCCTCCTGTCTGGTGATCTTGAAATATCCCAGCACTGATGTAGTTCCCACGAGATGAGATGTGTCTGTACTAAAGAATCGATAGCCAACAGTGTTGGCATCTTGCATAAATGGATTTGCATGAAGATGAACAACTATGAACTTTCAGACAAAAAGCAAGTCACTTTGGTGAATGCTGTCGCGGAGGCGCGGAAGGAGAGACGACTGAGCGGGCCGAGACTTGTATTGCAACTGTGGTTCTAGTACTGATTGGGGTTCGCCAGTGCCTGTGCGTTATATGCAAAGTGGTTGCACAATGAAGGACCGGTCCGCCGACCTTCTGGTATATCTAGGTCGTCGGGCGGTGCCGTCACGAAGGGGAAAGTGACGGGTATTTCATTGTAACAAAGCTTGAACGTGTACTCTCTTTATCATGATATGGAAGAAGGGAATCGGTCCCACAATGCTCAAAGTAAATCGATTTAGTTCAGAGCCCCAAAATACCCGACCAGTAGATTAAACAATGAATTCTAAAGGGCCCTAATAAACTGAATTCGACACAAACACACACAAAAACGTAACAGTAACATCCATCTACGAGTCAGTGGGCAAACGCTGACCGGTGGACTAAGGGCCAACACGGGGACTGGACCACTGGGCGAGTACTGACTAGAGGTGGCAAAAGATGAAAATTTTGGGAACCAGACTCGAACCAGACCCGGCTGGACATTTCTGGAACCAGTCGGACCCGGCCTTAGCTGGAATCGGAACCAGTTGGACCCTTTCCCCAAAAGTCAATCAATACAAACTACTTGTAGGTATCATTAGTTGCATCATGTAAAACAGCTTATTTCCCACTGGGAATACTCATGAGCTAATGTGTGCAAAGAAACATTCACTTCATACATATTTTGCAATAATGTGTAGTGTGCAAGAGGTATAGTTTATGGTAGGACCCGGTTGGACCCGTCAGAAAATTTCCAGGAACCGGTCTGGACCCATATGAGTCCAGACTGGTTCTTTGGACCGGGTCCTCGGGTCCACATTTTGCCACCTCTAGTACTGACCTCTGGACCAGCGGGCGATAACTGACCTCTGGACCACTGGGCGATGACTGACCTCTGGACCACTGGGCAATGACTGACCTCTGGTTGCGGAAGCGGATGTTGATGAAGAGGAAGATGACGGCCATGACGATGCCCAGTGAGGCAGCCACCACCAGCGCCGCGTACAGCTGCACGTTGACGCGCGCCTTCTCGATGTGCCGGATGGTCTGGTCCAGCGGCTGTTTGCCAGAGAACCACCAGATGGGCTCGATCCGGTCGTCGTCCTCCGGGGTGAGCCAGCGCAGCTGGTTCAGGTCGTGCACGCCGATAAACGACGTGCGGTTGTCTGGGGAGGGGGAGGGGTGGTCAGAGACGAGCGGACACACCACAGGAAACAGTAATTTCCGGCTCCGGAAGACCCAGAAATCATCAGAATAATTTCCCGTCGGGGCTTTATCTCATGACATTTGGCGACGCACGGCGGCGGAGAGACGTTACATAGCCGGACTTGATGACCAGACAGATGCCCTCTGCCTGTCTAGTGCCCGCTAGGAGCTCGGACAGGGCTACTGCGTCACAGTGAAGTGGTCTTCAGCTATTTATGAACAGACTCATAGTGTCCTGCACATCAGAAATATTTCCAAATTAATAGACAAAAAAGGAAGTGATTAGGTTCTTCAGTGTCAGCATTCATGAGAAACATAATAGGCATGCTCCATACGACTAACTAAAAATGTGATTGATCATCGACGTAAGAAAGAACCCGGCCGGTTAAAATTTTGTTTCGCCTATCAAACCACTGTGGTCATAAGCACCAATCCAGCTATTGTTCAAATAATTGTCTTCGTTGCATATTTCAGCAGGAAATTAGACTCGGCATAGCTATTATCGCCTCAGATTACTCTATCAGCGGCAATTGACCTCTCGTTAGCATTGTTTAGCGCGGTGAGCTCCCGCACTCGGCCGCTCCACAACGAGTCATTGTGACGAGGCTAACACACGGAAGTGGCTCAATCCCGCAACTTTCCACTGGAAACGACGCTTTAAACAACGCCAATAGTCCAACTAGTTCCGGCAGTCTCGGACGGCCAGCGGCGGCAGCCCGGCGGGCCCTCGGTCCGCGGCTGCACGGTGACCCCCCACGCCGCTGTGCTGGCCCCTCAGTCTGGTGCCGCCGGCCGCGTGTCCCCCTGGCTCCGTTAGGGCCCGGTCGGCTCCGCAGCGCCCCGGGACGGCCGCCCGGCGTCTCAGCCAACTGAGCACGCCGCCCGACCGGCGTCTGCCGACCGGCCAGATTGGGCCAATTGAACGGCCGAACAGAACAAAGGGTAAATGATGAACCTCGCCAGCGCAGTGACACTGAGCTGTGGCCAGCGTGGCGACCGACTCAGAATCGCCGCGATAATAAAGGGGATGTTGCCGACTGAGGAGAATACCACAAACGACTGAGCCGTTTGCCACTCTCAACTAGGCATCTCCGAACTGGGACAAAGAGTGTTTGTGATACGATGAAGCTGTTTTATTGGTGTTCAGAAGTCAGAACAACAAAATATAACCGGTGAAGAATATTGTTTTGTGCTAAACTTAAAACAAAATGAGTGAACTTATTACATCTCCAGAATATAGAGCATACACTTACCTTTAAAAACATCAATGCATTATCAAACATAATTATGGCTTGATTCCCATCAAATCGTGATAGCAAATTATGAAAGACCCATCAAGCTTTTCTCGGCTGACTGCTACCGCTCGATTTCACGCTTAGTTTACCTTAAGAACGATGCATTACCCTGCAAAGCGCCGCAGTCGTTCCAGCATTTTACCGAATGGGCCGTTAGTGCGGCATGCCTGCTTCCAACGCCACTACAGCAACGCAAAGCGCAGCTGCGAACGGGTTCCCGAGGCCATAAAGGGAGAAAATATGGAAGCTTGTTGGCAATAATATGTCTCTTTGCCACCAAGCCAATGAGAAGGCGGAAAATAAGGCTGCACAATGCACATGAATCGCCACGTACCTCGAAACTGCTTCAAGACGACGAAACCTCTCCGCTCATTTTCTGAAAATTTCACCGAGCCCTGAAACAAAATAAAGGCAGTGAGCGCGAAAAATACAGGGTTTCATAAGTACAATGAAACGACACATTCGTTTCACTCATACAGGCACATGGGGCGGGTTAAGCTCGCCGGCCGGCCGTCGGCCGCTGGGGCCGCCCAGCAACAGCGGGTTAGCCTACCTCCCGGGGGCGGCAGAGTCCGTCAGCTGACCTTGACCTGCCGCGCGGTCCCGGGCGACGGACAGACAGCGGACGCAGGGTGGGAGCATTGCAGGGAGCTCGCGGGGCTGATGGCCACCTGTTGTTGCGTTGTAATTGTTAATCTCGGTTATGAAGATATACCGAAAGATAAATGCTGGCTCGCTATAGCAAAGCCTTTGTATATACACATAGAGGCCCAGCATACACACATAGGGGAAGGTGGGGTAAGACGGACCAGCTAAGGTTTGAGGCCGCATATCTTGCTACACTGCTCTCGTAATTCATATTATTTATAGTCTTCGGAATGCTCAATCCTTCCTCTGTTGATATGTGTAAAGACTAAATTTCAAATTAAATACATCTAGGTGGTGGATGCTCTTAAAGAGGGACATGTCAAAAACTGAGACAAGAAAAAACGTGGGGTAAGACGGACCACCCGGCAGTGCCTGCTATCCGTTCATGTGTGGTTACACTTCTGCTCTGTACTCTTGTAAGAAAAAGTAACCAGAATGGTAAAATAACAAAATGAGCCTTTATTCTTTACTCATGTGTGATGGAAGTGCAGCTAAAAGCTGGGAACATGTGTGTTGATTGTCGTTTGGCATGAATGCATGCTAACTGAGCACTTGCATGCATGGCTCACATGCAACAAAGACTCCTTCCTGAAAAATTAGCTTACTTAAACTTGTGTCAATGTTTTGGAAAAAGAACTTTCCATCTGCATATGGTACAATGGACCACCACAGGGTAAGATGGACCACAGTGGTCCGTCTTGCCCCAAATCTAAATTCTGTCATTATCATGACGTATATGTCAAATAGCCCAGCATTGCAAAACCTTGCCTTTCCTAAAGTGTGACTATAATTAAGTTTATAACTTTGTTCTTCACAGTTAAGAGCAAAATCGAAACTAATCATGCAAGAAAGGCGCCGTAATTGAATCACCCGTAAACCTCTTATATTAGATCGGTTTGACGAAAAACAACATTTTTCTCAATAACTCAAAAGCTATGCATCCTAGCAGCATGAGCTCAAGGTGGCCATTGTTACGAAGGAAAGCAAACATAGTGAGTGCATAAAGCAGTAGATACCTACCAGCAGCGGTTCAGCCGGGAGGGCTGGTGGTCCGTCTTGCCCCGCTGGGCCGTCTTACCCCACCTTCCCCTACCTACTTGCCACATACCCCCAGGTTCCCTGAATAGCCGCCGGCCGTGACATATGGCACAGCCTTACACATTCACCTGTGGCTTACAGAGCCACATAAATCACTTCGTCAAATCAACAATACACGCTCGGTCATGGGGATTTCAGTAGGGTCCGCTTACAAGTCTTAATAATTTACAAGGTGTGCAGTATATAACGCCTGGGAGTGCAAATCCATCCGAAACGCCCATTTAATGAGGAGTTACTCTGCAGGCCAGAATAAAATGGTTTTGGTTAAAATCGGTTAGGTCGTGTCTAGCTCGGAATATTGTAGGTAATTGTAAATTATATGACCAGACAGTCTTTCAAAGTTCAAATGAGAGAGCCACTAATGGATTCTGCTGACCAACACAACATCCTTGATAGGCTCCATGAGTTTTGCCGTGAGTTTCGCCGGCTGAGGATCCCTGTACCCTGGCTATTGCCTATGGCGAGCAGAAGTTAGTGGGTAATTGGTGAAACTCGGGCTTTCTGCAGCTACCGACGGCTGGTGGCCTTCCGTCCGGCCTTCCAAGACTGGTTTCGGGAGTGAGTTACACCTCCGGTGATGTGGTAAGATGGGGTCAGATCAGATGTGGTCAAGTGGCTATCTCCCTGAACCATTCATATTTGTGTGCCGTCATCCAGCACTCAGACATCAAATACCAATTAGATGTCAAAGCATTCAATCTGTTATGCTCAGCACATAATCAAATAAGCACAGTGTATCGTTCGGGCGGCACGCAAATTCAGCATTAGCGATACAGTCAATACAATGTCTGCCCACCCCCCCCCCCATCCCCCTCGGTCGGCGGCTGATTCCCCCGTGCCGGTCAGAAGGTCAGCGCCGTCCCTCGGGACTGAAACGCCGGCCCTCATTGGGCCGGCGCCGGGCTAAGTGGCCTTTATGCGGTCTGCGGTCCAACATCAAATGACGTATCGACGCCGGCAGGCACCACGCCTGACGGGGATGGATTAGCCTGGCCTGAGTCCTCGGTACGAGCAGAGATAGGAGAATGTCAAATGTTGTAAAACGATAACCTTATTTTTATTATACCTACATGGCAAATATTATGTTGATTATATAACCAGTATAACGCCTTATGGGGCGACTAACGGAGCGAGCGAGAGGGTGGGCCTTGCACGTGCGAAATTGCGAGGGGGTACCTCCAACTGACTTGTGTACGGCACCCTACTAACCGGTCTCTAGCGATTTGCCAAATTTGAGCACAATCGGCCCAGCCGTTCTCGAGATCTGGGAGCGGCATCCTGCACGTGCGCACGTGCAAAATGGGTCCCGACTGGCTTTTGCACGGCACCCTACTAACCGGTCCCTAACTGTGTACCAAATTTGAGCGCAATCGGTCCAGCCGTTCTCGAGATCTGGAAACGACCCCTGCACGTGCGCACGTGCAGCAGCACCCCAACTCTGGCACACGGATATGCAGTGCCTAGTGGGTGCCTACCTACATACCAACTTTCAGCGCAATCGGCCAAGTAGTTACCGAAATATTGCAACAATTGCAAAACTGACACCTCTTCGTTTTGCACGTGGCACGTGCATAGGGGGTCACTCACATGCATCGGGAATAGTCCAATACTTGGTAGAAGGAATGAAGCTACCCTATAAAAATTACCGCGTGTAAATCGGTCAAGTGGTTGCTGAGATATAAGCCTCGCAAAAGCGTGACCACGGCCGGCCGGCCGGCCGGCCGGCCGCTCATACTCAGAAATTTCCGTTATTCTACGTAAGACTCCGCTCGCTTCGCTCGCTCCGTAAACATACCAGTATAGCGCCTTTTGGGGCGACTAACGGAGCGAGCGAGAGGGTGAGCCTTGCACGTGCGAAATTTCGAGGGGGTACCTCCAACTGACTTGTGCACGGCACCCTACTGACCGGTTTCTAGCGATGTGCCAAATTTGAGCACAATCGGCCCAGCCGTTCTCGAGATCTGGGAGCGGCACCCTGCACGTGCGCACGTGCAAAATGGGTCCCGACTGGCTTTTGCACGGCACCCTACTAACCGGTCCCTAACTGTGTACCAAATTTGAGCGCAATCGGTCCAGCCGTTCTCGAGATCTGGAAACGACCCCTGCACGTGCGCACGTGCAGCAGCACCCCAACTCTGGCACATGGATATGCAGTGCCTAGTGGGTGCCTACCTACATGCCAACTTTCAGCGCAATCGGCCAAGTAGTTACCGAAATATTGCAACAATTGCAAAACTGACACCTCTTCGTTTTGCACGTGGCACGTGCATAAGGGGTCACCCACATGCATCGGGAATAGTCCAATACTTGGTAGAAGGAATGAAGCTACCCTATAAAAATTACCGCGTGTAAATCGGTCAAGTGGTTGCTGAGATATAAGCCTCGCAAAAGCGTCCGCACGGCCGGCCGGCCGGCCGGCCGGCCGGCCGGCCGGCCGCTCATACTCAGAAATTTCCGTTATTCTACGTAAGACTCCGCTCGCTTCGCTCGCTCCGTAATAAACAGAGGCAATAGTCTATGGTTTCCTCCTAAAGCTTATCGCTCAGACGTTGAGTCGCAGCTGGCATTACCACCATCCAAGAGCATCGCTCGGGTTTCTGCCTCTCTTTCCTCCCACTCAGTGCAGCGGCCCGATCGCAAACTTCTCTCGTTATGGCCGCTTGAGAGCGTGTTTTTATCGGCTGGCCTTCTCGACCGACAACCTGGCGGCGTAGCTCCGACGGCGCTGACGGGGAACGGTGGGGCCGCTCAGCGCTGACGGGGAGCGGTGGGGGTACACAGCGCTGACGGGGAACGATGGGGGCCGCTGAGTGCTGACGGGGAACGATGGAGGCCGCTCAGCGCTGACGGGGAGTGGTGGGGGCCGCAGAGCGCTGACGGGGAACGGTGGGGGCCGCTCAGCGCTGACGGGGAGCGGTGGGGGCCGCTCAGCGCTGACGGGGAGTGGTGGGGGCCGCTCAGCGCTGACGGGGAGTGGTGGGGGCCGCAGAGCGCTGACGGGGAACGGTGGGGGCCGCTCAGTGTTTACTGAGAATAAGCGCTGACAGAGGACAAAATGTGGCGGTCATCGCTAACAGAGGACAAGGAGAATGGCCTTCCAGTGTTCACGGGAGCCGGAGAGATCAGCAATAACGGAGGACAGCATAGCGGATGCAAGCCGCTGACAAGGGGACGGCGGGAGACGCTCAGTGACAACGGTGAAGGCTGGGGCTGCTGTCAGCATCATCAAAGCATGATAATGACATGTCACCAACCATTCTACTATACAATCGTACACTCACCGTGACACCCTCGAAGCTGATGTCGTTCAGGGCCGACTTGAGCACCGTCTCCCAGCGCTCGTCCTGGTAGCGGAAATCACTGAGGTTGGCCCAGCTCGGCAGCGGGGACTGGTTGTGACGGATGCGCCACGTCACCTGAATGAACGGCACACAGAGGACGGTGTCACCCGTCGGGCGAGGTTGGGAGTGAAGAACTGGTTAAATTTATTAGGTGTTTAATTTTTGTTCCATTGGTACTGCAAAATGCCATATGGCTATGGCAGATGGACAACTATAAATGTTGCACCAAATTAACCAAACATTCTGAATTCAATATGCATATCTTACTGTTCAAATCGGTCTTCCAATTAATCAATTATGCGCCACCAGAATAGTTTGTCCGTGAATTTCGCCTCATGCATATTCGCGTGAAGCGTTCTATCAGTCGGGGCGACTATCATGTCGATTCGATGACCAGCGAGTCGTGTGCGCCGACCCAAGTATGATTGCATATTCAGCGCCGGGGCGGCGGGCTGGAGTCGGGCAGCTCCGGGTAGTTTCAGCGGTGGCTGGAGACAGGGCTGCGGAGTCGGAGTCGGAGTCGGAGTCGGAGTCGGAGTCGGAGTCGGAGTCGGAGTCGCCGAAAATCCATCAACTCCGCAGCCCTGGCTGGAGATGTTGTGAAGCTGTATATACGGCCCTCAGAGGCAATGGCACTGCTTTGCGCACTTACTCATAGACCAAGGCTACGGCATTGGAAGGACAAAAATGATGATGTATGTAAGGCGAGCAATAAGGTCTGTATTTCATCAACAACTATCACTATTGGTGCAATAAATGATGGAATAACGCAGACTGTTAAAATAGGTTATTGAGTGATTTAAATTTTAAACTTAAATTCGTTTGTTTTGCATCTTATTCACTTTTTTTGTAAGTAAAATAGCAGCGGACCTGAAATCAAGAAATGGAGAGGAATTCGGTATTACCAGACGCTCACATTTTTTTTCGGCACCTCACACCCACGCCGGAAAGTCATCACCCACGGCACGGCGCGCACTTATGGTCCGCTGAGCAAACCGTTTGCGTTGCTGTCATTAACATTCGGCAAACTTTGGGCGTCGATCGGATCTGGCTAATAACGTTCAGCGTCTCGGAACTGACCGTTGCCATTATTTCGCCCCGGGCGCAAACAATCTTTTTCCGGTCGAGTGGACGACGGCCGACACGGTGCGGGGCCATTGATTGGTGCGCGGCTCTCCGATCTACGGGTATCGGTCGAGGGCAGAACAGGACCGACTGTAGCCGCCCGGCGCCCACCCTCCCAAAACGGTACACACTGGCAATGGTAAACCCGCCACCAAGGATGACTGAGGTATGGTGGCTCAACGGGCTCTTTGGGGACCTGAAAAGTTCACAACAGGCTGGGAAAATCCCACGTTCTAGCATTCCAATCATTTCTCAAACTTTTATCACGCTCAGAGTACTCGCAATTATTTATTCATTCCACATGTGAACAGCTTTGTTTTTAAGATCTTCAAGGAACCATTCGGTTGCTCCGCATCTAACAGCCTCTGTTGTTTCTCTTTTCTTCTTCGAATTATAGGAAGAACATATTCATAACTTTACTAGTTTATGGTAATTTTACACTTCATCAACGATTGGGACAGATAGGCTCGTGGATGATAATACTCCCAAGCAGCTTCTTCGAAGTGACGTTCCTTACGTTATGGGACTGGATGAGGTCTCATCACCGAGTTCCCATTGACGGCGGTGTATTTCTATAAAAATAGATCGTGCGGCTGCTGCCACCCGAACGGAGCTGAGACTAATGATCACAATCTCGGCCAGCATGGAAGACCCATCCCTCCCCCCCCCCCCCCGACAGGTAGAAATGGGCTCCTATAGTTGAAGATCGGGCTATCCTGTCCCCATTATAGCCTGACCTATAGTTGGATATAATTGGAGGTGTATAATTGGCACCAGTCCTGGTATAAAAGCGGTGCTACCTCTGCATCAATTTAGAACACTAACTGGTTAGAGAAGCAACATGAATTTAAGGTTGTTTTGGTATCGAAATCCCGGTACAATTGTTTCACGATATGTTAGGCAGAACTTATTTGTTGGAACTTGCTTGCAGAACTTGGACGCGTAGTAAAATTAGCACAAGAAGTTATGACAATCTATCTATGTATATTTGGACGATAATGACAAAACGGTTTCATTGCTATCACCTGAGTAGAGCTGATGAGATCCACGTCTCACCTGATGCAGAGCCGGTGAGATCCACGTCTCACCTGATGCAGAGCCGGTGAGATCCACGTCTCACCTGATGCAGAGCCGGTGAGATCCACGTCTCACCTGATGCAGAGCAGAGGCGATGGCCCAGATGCCGTCGTAGGCGTACCCGTGGAACCGAGAGTAGTCCTTCCCGCGGACGTGGTCGTATTGCTTCTTGTACTCGCTGGCAGTCTGTAAGGAGGCTGCCATCAGTGGCGGCATATCAACCACGACAGAGGCGATGAATGCAGTCCATAGACAGAGCAGACATCCACACTGTGGAGTGTGGAGCTCCCTTTCTGTCAGAAAAGTGACTCACTACGGGTGTTCGACCATGAGCATGCATAAATCCATCTGGCTCTCACAGCGCAGGCAATGATGCTCAGAGATTTTTAGTAGTCATATGGCCGACGTCTCGGTCTCGATAGCTTAGACTTCTCGCACCGTGACGCTCTCGTCCAAGATGCACGACTCTCTCTCTTTTCCGGTCGGGAGTATTAGAGCGGCGATATATCAGGCGGGCAGTGTGTCACCTCCCCAGATTTAGGTGACGTCTCTGAACACACTGCATCCTCTGCCAGGGCGGGCTGGGGGGGGGGGGGGAGGCCACTGCGCCAGCCGCGGCCGCCCGCAGCTCCTCGGGGCGGCCCCGGCTGGGCCCTAGAGGCTGACCGGACAGTCCTCAAAGGCTGACCGACTGGTACTCCTGCCTAATTGGGGTCAGTCTCTTACTCTCACAGCAGTACACACATGCATACATTTACTGCAATTCGCAACAATGAGCTAGAATATTAGCGCACGTCTGTTGCTCATGCGATGTTGTGAACTATTGCGTTTCACTTCTGATAATTGTTAACTAACATGACAAGCAGCAAACATTGTGTTAGTCTCTTATCGTGTTCGGTGCTGTCTTAAAATGGTTTCTTTGGCGAATGCTTCTTTCTGGCAAACAAACAAATGTTTCACTCTTCAGTTCCTCTCGGTCTGTCAACTGGCGACTGACACCAAAAGCACTACGTTTCAAACAAACGCAAACTGTCCCGCCTGATAGCTGGAAAAGTTAGTAGCCTTTCTATCTCTGGAAGAACTTAAATGTGCTAAAGTTGAAGCGTTCCACATTTTGAACCATATATAGCACAACTTTGCAAGAAACGACAGTATATCAAGGCTCTATCAAATCGAGTCTGAAGATGCCCCGAAAGTCAGCGATATGACTGGATATGAACTGAGTGGTTTATGTGCTGATTTCAGCCTGATAAGCATAACTTATTTTTGTTGATGCAACTCATGCCTTTAAACACGGATGTAAGTCGCATGCTAGTTTCATAAGCGACGGAGCATGTTCGCCGTATAAATTGTATGCTTGCATCATAGCTAATAAAGTACCTACTTATTCTATGAATTGAGAAAAAACCTGTGTCAATAAACATTATTTTGCCCAATCTAAGCATGCATATCACCCACACCAGCCGTGCCACCTGTCGTCTGCCCGCTCTGACCTGCCCCCCTCCGTGTCACTGCCCTCCCTACCCAGATCTGCCCTCCCCGTGTCATCCACCCCGCCCTGCCCCCCCCCCCCTCCGTGTCACCCACCCCGCCCTGACCTGCCCCCTCCCGTGTCACCTACCATGCCGGAGATGACCCTGCGCCGGCTGTTGCTCAGGTGGAGCACGTCGGTAAGCACGGCGCCCTGGAGTGCGGGCACCACGTCCTCTGGCGAGCAGCGCTCGGCCGGGTCGGCCGGCTCCGGTCCGGCGAACTGGTCCCGCTCCCACCAGCGCTCACTGTACAGTCCCACCAGCAGCCACTGGTAGCGGCGGCCGAACATGCCCACTCGGCGCGCCTCACAGAATATCCGCCTCGCCCAGCTCTCGTCAAAGCTGCCCAAAACTATGCGCACATCCTTGGCCTTCAGCTTCTCCAGCTGGTCGGTCAGCTTGCCGGCGAACGTTTCCATGGCAACCACGTCCACTTGGAATGTGTCGAGCAGCTTGACCATACCGTTGTGCGCCTGCCGGAGACGGTGCGGTCAGAGGGCGGTGGAGGAGAGCGGTCAGGGTCACCCGGTCCGGGCTGCCGCGGACAGGGGTCACAGCCTGGGGGACAGCTGGGCGTCAGCTACTCGAGCCGTGCCCATGGCAGCCGGATTTGTGGTCGGTGTCAGCACGTCGATACGGCGTGTTTGCAGACCATGTTTTCATTTGATCAGGCCATCCGTCTGGGAGAACCGTGGCGCCGACAGGCGATCTATCGGATGACCGCCTCCGGGGCCGGGGTCGTGCATCACGCGCCGCTCCGGCGGGCCACGCTCGCCGCCTTATCAGGGGCAATCGAACGGCACCGCCGAACCCGACCGGGTCCCTGGATTGATTTCAGAATGGAGTTTCCCTAAATTAGCTGTCATATGGAGCGAGACATTTAGGTGCCGACATATCGCCTTTATAGTGATATTTATTCGGAGAGAAAGTATGAATAATTTCGGCAGCTCGACCAGGTCAAATTTGCCATTTTGGTAACTATGATTTTAACGATAACAGTTGTAAGAATTGTAATTCAAAGTTCAAGCAAAAATCTGCATAACAGAATAAGTAGGTATTATGAAAATCAGTGTTGATTTATGCTGAGTGAAGCTGATCTCAAACTCCTCATGAGCCTGACCTGACGCTCTCCACGCGCTGATCATCCCATCCCCATCCGCCGACCGCTGCACTGACCGGCAGCTATGTCCGCCGACCGCCGCACTGACCGGCAGCTATGTCCGCCGACCGCCGCACTGACCGGCAGTTCGTGATAATCAGAGCCGCCACCCGCCCAGCGATCCGGGGCTTAGCGTCGCCCAGGTGACGGTGCCGGATCCGAGCGCCATCAGATGAGAAAGGTGAGACTGTCGCCGGTTATTTTTGGAAAAGAAGATCCTGATAATGACAATGGTTGAAATTAGAAACAATATAATCAAGTATTTGATCTTGTGATGAGTTCTTACAGCTGTGTTTTTTTCTAATTCAGACGTGTTTATAAACATAATAATTCATTCAGCGCAAATGTCATTTAAATCTGCCAAGACACAGCATTATGTAGTCACATGTAAACCCCGAGTGCGCCTGGACTAGCGGAGACGATGTGTTTCCTGATCTCTCCAGCAGCTCCCCAAAGGCAAGGAACTCTCTGATCCTCTCTGTTCCCCCTCTCTCTCTCTCTCTCTCTCTCTCTCTCTCTCTCTCTCTCTCTCTCTCTCTCTCTCTCTCTCTCTCTCTCTCTCTCTCTCTCTCCCCTCGGCACTCGGCTCTGTTTACCTGCGCCGCGGCTGAGCATTGCAATTAATGCGCCCTCGGCGGGCTGACAGCTCCTCTGCCGACTCAGGAGCCGGCCCCGGTGGGCGGGCCGAGTTGCTCTGAGTGCCAGCCTGAGAGGCTGGGGCTAACGACGAAAACACGCCGATCCCCGCACGGCGCCTCCCCCCCTCCCCCCGGCCTCTGCCACTGTCGCAGTTTGCCGGATTCTGGTCGCGGTTTCCCCAGGAGGGCTGGGGCCGCCACTAAATGACCAACTTTGACCGCCGCACTGTGGGGTTTTTATCGATCCTAGCACGAATTTATTTATATCGCGTCCTCCGCTAACTTAACTAATTTTATTTCACCTTCAAATGTTTAGGCTTAGGGTGTATGATCCCTGACAACATGGTTGGCTCTCCTGTTTGACCCCATCCCTCCCCCGCCCCCGCCCCACGGACTTAGCACTGAAGCGTTTTCGGCTAGCAATGCATCGTGGGCGTGGAAGCGTTAAAAAAGTAGAACGAAACTACAATCGTTTTAGAAGTAGATATTTGTTCATGTCTAGCCCAATCACCAAAAGGCATTTCGGGCTTAACCTTTGCACTTTGTTAGTCCTTGCACTTAAAGGGGGAGGGGGTCGCACAGACTTCTGTCCTCGACTTTTCGCAACTAACTCAAGCAAAACGTGGCGGATCACGACGAAACTTTCTATACCTTCGATTCGATCAATGTTACTCACACACTTAAAATTTCATGACCTTGACCTTAATAAAAATTTGACCTGTGACCTGTTTCACCAGACCATGTCAGGCTGGTACCGATTTGGCGCTTATCAGCGCACATTATCGGCGCGTTTTCAGTCTTGTTGTGGTTGTTAACTCTCCAAGGTATGAAATGCTGTTTGTTCTTTGCATTTTAACCCTCGCATGTGTGCGGCGTTTGCCAGCTTCTAATGTGTAGGGGGGGGGGGTCGGTTGGACCCCCCCTTGCCGTTTGGCCCCTGATCGAGCTAGAGCTTCGCGGAAAAAACGAGCGTGTTGCCCGTGACGAGAGGAAGCCGATGATACCCAATTTTAAGGTCCTAGGTCATTGGTTGACCTTCCAGGTCAGGTCAATGACCCAAAGTCGGGAAAATCGGGACCTGTTAGAAAGTCGTAAAGTGTGGCTGCTAAGGGGTTTTTCGGGGTGCTGATCACGAATATCGTGTTAGTTTTGATCACAGATGATGTCTTGAAGCATTTAGATCAGGTCGGGTCAGGTCAGGTCAGGTCAACCAGTAGGCGTCGTGACGGGTATTCGTAGTACGTGTCAACCGCCTCTGACAGCTTCGTAACATGTTACGAAGTCACCAAAACTACTTCGTAAATGTTCAAATTGCTGCTAAATTCGAATTCAGCTCCAAAAACTAGCCTAGAAACATGTAAAACTCGAAAAAGTGACCCGAGGTCACCCGAGGTCACCAAAGGTCAATGACCTGACCTGACCTTCAGGTGACCTTGACACACACGGGAGTAACATCAAATCACATGTTTGAACGTTTGAAACCACGAAAAGCTTGCAAACACGCGGCTAGTGCGAGCCGACATACCCGAAATCGCGATTCCGGCCAAACATGGTTTCGGAAAAGAGGTCACAGGTCAAAGGTCATTTGGGTCAGGGTCATGAAATTTTCAGGGTAGGTGTAAAATTGATCAATGCGAGGGTACTGAAAGTTTCGTCGCGATCGGCCGCTTTTTACGCGAGTTATTTGCGAAAAACCATGGGGGGGGTCCATCCGACCCCCCCTACACATGCGAGGGTTAAGGTCAGGTTAAGGTCAAATCAAGGTCATTTACCTTAGATTACCTTAGTTGACTTTTTCAAGTTATACGATTTTTCTAGATGAGTGCTTGGAGCTTATTTCGAACTTAACACCCATTTGAAGATTTAAGTAGTTTTGGTGCCTAACGGAACATGCTACGAAGCCGTCAAAGGTAATCGACGCCTACCTTCTATGGATAGCCGGCAAGACACCTACTGGTCGGGCCTGACCTGACCCGGCCTAGCATGAAAACATCATCCTTGATCAAAACTAGCTTGAAATTCGTGATTAGCACCCCAAAAACCTCCAACCTCACTTTACAAAGTTACAACATTTTTCGATTTACCTATATCAAAGCTCTGTACTGAAGTTCAATAAGGTGAACATTGGCGGCGATAGCCAATAAAATGGACGCAGCGTTGCAAGGATGTTGTTGTTTTGTTCTAAAAGAACATTTGGCGATAGAAAAATAATGTCAACATGGTATCACCCCCATCCTCCCTCCTCCCAACTCCTATATTGACCGGAAACCCCCAGGCGGTGTGCTGCGGTCGGGTAACTCGCCGCGGCGCGGCCCGGCGGGGCGTAAGAAACCACGCGGCACCGTCTGCTTTGACGTCTCATAGTGACTGGTTTAGGCAAATTTCGGCAAAAAATGAGAGCTGCCCCCAATGCAGAAATTATTGGAGAACATTTTGATATACATTTCCACGCGTAACACCTCGTATCAAACTTTGTAAGGCAATAGTTTGCTTGTCAACTCTCTGAATCATGAAGCATTTTAACATTTTTAGCATTTCGGTCAAAAATTATACATTTGGATGAATTTTCGAAATTTTCGTGCATACCATCATCTTCCTTATAAGTCAAAGATAATGAAAACATGTCGCAACTATAACCTGCTGTTCAGGGAAACGAGTGAGAGGGCGTTTTATTGTAGTGTGCTTTTTCGCTGTATGCAGGTAGCACGACGCTGGTCAGGACGAAGCTACACTTTGAGATGTTTTTTGAGGCATAAGCAATCATTTTACAGACGATTTAAGGTGTGATTCGGATGCGCTGGACAATTCTACGTGGAATGAATAACAAAAAAGTGGAAATCGAAATACTTTAACTTGCCACTTAATGCGTGCTAGGATGGCATAAGTCCCCACGGTGCGCCGACCTGCTTTGTAGGCGCCCGTTGTCCGGCCACCCGCTTTTTGTAAGCGATTACGTGCTGGACGCACAAAGAGGTAGAAAAGGAAACCTGATATTGGCCAGAAGCCTCAGGCAAAGTGTATGCAGTGGCACGCCTGGGAAGCCGAGTTCGGAAACTCACAATTTATTCGTACACGTTTTAACGTCTTCTCAGCCTGAACAAATATTACCGGCGAAATAAAACTTGCCATTAGAAATGGATATTTTCATTGGTGTTATTGTTGGACGCACTTCGCAGAAAACGCAGCTTACGAGATACAGGAGATACGAGTTGTTACGAGAGCACTCAGCACTCATTTATCTTCGATACTGTTTGCAGTGTATAGGAGTTATTCAGTTTCAAGACATGTATTAGTTACATGTGAGCAAAATGATTGTCTAGCTTGACATGCGCAAGAAAGACTAATGGCTCTCGGTAGAATGTTGAACCATTGCGCCCCCGACAGCGCCTTCATATCAGCCGAGCCCATATCACCCGTTGTCATGGATTCCATTTCCCTTTGGACGGCAGGCTGGTCGGGCTCCCTCTGCAGGCTGGTCGGGCTCCCTCTGCGGGCTATCACTGTGCCTCTGTCGCCTTTCACTTGAGTCGGGAGGATTGATGAACGAACGGAGCCCACATGGGCGTCGATTTATGATCAAAGCGATCGAAGACGATGGCCCAGAATAACTCTCCGTCATTGCAAATGAAACTAAATGGAGTGTGCCAGCGCTAACCACTCTCCCTAGCAGGTGGGCTTTTAAACATATGATGGTCAGCTGGTCTTGCTGCCAGTTTTATGCATGGCAAGTATAATCAAATAGGTAAGTGAGACACTCCAAATTAAATTGGCATAAATTCTTATTTCGGAAGCTTCAGACTTCAGTTTATGATTTACGTTGCCTATCGCCGTCCAATGCCAGCGCTTTTGCTTTTTTATTTTGATATTTTAGCTAATGAAATGCTCCACCTCCCATCTTTGCCTGGAAAAGTTTTAAGCCCGGCGTGACCAGTCACAATAGATCATCATCCGGACTGGCTTGCATTCAGAACTTGGCTAAAGCCACGCGCTTAAACTCGGAAATGCCTGGGGCGCTGCGTGCCGGCCGCTAACAAAGTCCGTCGGCGCCGGCCGCGGCAGCGCTGTCCCGTCGGCAGCCGGAGCCATCGACTATTCTTGCCGCACATACGGCGGGCGCATGACACCGTAAAAGGCGCGACCGGAGGCCCAGCGGCCAATCTCCACAGTCCTACCGGCATCGGGCGAGACACTGATGAGCACTAAAAGGCGGAGAGCCGGGCTGCCGGCGACCCCGCGGCCCACGCCGCCGCGTCATGGCACTGGTTGCCTGTTATATGCAGATGATGTGAAACTGTTCCACCGAGTGGGGTCCGATGATGATGTCGCTCTACTTCAGGCTGACTTAGACAATCTTCATAACTGGTGTAAAACATGGAAGCTAAAACTCAATCCGGTTAAATGTCAGACGATCACTTTCACCCTCAGGACATCTCCCATTCAGTCGACCTACAGTGTGAATGGTCACGAGCTCACTCGTTGTCAAGAGGTACGCGATTTAGGGATCCTTTTGGACGCTAAGCTTACATTTGCGCAGCATGTTGACGCCACCATACGGAAATGTAATAAGATGTTAGGCCTAATAATGCGCAGTGTGCAGTTGCCTCGATGTCCCCGGCGGGTCAAATTCAATCGAACTGCGCTGCTTGCCGCCTACAAGGCTCACGTTCGCTCGATTGCTGAGTACGGCAGCGTTATTTGGAGCGGCGCAGCAAAAACCCACCTTGTGCGACTTGAGCGAATGCAGCATCGTTTTTTGATGTGGCTGGCATCGAATTCGGATGGAGATGGCTCCAGTCTCGATTACGTGCGCCTCTTGAACCGCTTTGGTCTGTGCTCGATTAAGTCCCGCTTTGTACAGGCCGACCTTTCTTTCCTACTCAACGTGTATCGCAGTAGGATCGACTGTCCCTACCTGTTGGCAGTCTTTGGCCTAGCAGTCCCCAACAGACGCTCTCGACAGACAGGGCTGTTCCATGTACCGTTCGGTCGTGTGAATACTGTGAAGTCAGGGTTCACTGTCCGTATCCCTGCACTTTGTAATCGCTTCTTGCAGCATACACCCACTGCTGACATGTTGGCATCATCGGGTTCCGTTTTATCGGACATCCGAGAGTTTGCTCGCTCTCAGGGGACGTACATGTAATGTGCAGAATTCATTGTAATGTGCAATGTGCATGTGCTGCGTCACCTATTTTAATCGTGACTGCCACTGTAAATGGGCTGCAAGGCCTGTAGTCGGCTATTACAAATACAAGAATACAAGAATACAAGAATACACAGTAGGTACCCCCAGCGGGTCAGAAACGGGTCTGACACGGTTTGTGTCGAGCCCGTTCAGACAAGATTCTAACATGAGGTATTAGTTGTTCAAGACAAAAAGTTGCACGCTACACTTCGACAAAATGATATCGAACAATTGCATGCTAACTTGGCCTGAAATAGGGGCAGTAATCTAGAAGTTCTTCCGTGCTACAAATATTCACAAATATTTTATTGTCTCGTTAATGTGAATAATACAGTATGCAAACGGGTTGACATTAGTCATGACTCATGTTGGAAGCTGCACCCTTTTCATTTATATCATATGACTATTTCATTGTCAACGTGACCGTAGCACACTACTCGTATGTCTGATTGTCAAGCAACAGAGTCATGTTTAGTTAAAGCGTGGCATTCGTTACCTGTTGTAAATGTCTAATGACCGCAGCACGGACGTATGAATCATTTATCGACCGCTGTAGCCTACATGCAGCGACTAATTCCATTTGTCGGCTGGTTGCAGGTCACCAAGTCGAGTACATATAAGAATACTTCTCGGTACCTTATGCAAGAAACTCCGTCCGGCTAGTTATTGCTGTTTACATAACGGTGAAACATTGTAGAACTTGCATTAACAAACTTTGCGCATTCAACTTCGTAATTAAGTTCAAAGCGTGCTCATTATTTGATTCCGTACTGATGAAGCTAAACGCTAATGCTGTGGCCAACTTTATTGTTCATTACCTGGTTCCGCTGCACCCTGTGAGGACTGTGATGGAAGGCCCCCCAGTCCCCGCTAACCCCTAGTGGTTTCGCTGCACCCTGTGACACCGAGCCGCACCGCTCATTGACCGCGTGCCCAGCGGCCTGTTTAATTGCTCCAAACGGCTGCCACGGAGTACGAAACACCGCGGGACCATTCATTAGCGCGTGGACTGTGTCCGCTAGTAACCGCCACTGGTGATCAAGGTCCTAAACGGAACTGATGCAACCAAATAATATCATTCCTTCGCGGGTCAATCCCTCTACTGATATTATTAGCATTGGTGCATACCCTTACATGTTAGACTGTGCCATTTACATGGCGTTAGAAGAGGCACTTGCTGAGTTAGAGCCCAAGCGGCCGTGAAGGAATCACACATAAACGGTAAAAAGTCAGGGAAACAATGTAATGCCAACGAAAGCTATACAGTTAGTATGTGACATGATACTTTGTGATACTATCTGTCCACGAGGACGCAACATTCGCATCTTTTTGGTAAATTGAGGGGGCGTATCAGAATTAATGACAATGTTACGTACCAGTGTGTAGCGGGGGTCATCCTGGCAGAGTGTGCCGACCCTCTTCCAGCCGTGCAGTTTGACAAACTCCACGCGAGCCACGTCCAGGTAGCGCACGTTGGGCACGATCCGGTAAAAGTTTGGAAAGTTGCGCTTGGTGAACATCGGGTGCGTGTTGGCGTAGGAGAGCTGTAAAACCACAAACAGGTGGCCGTGAGGCGAAAACAAAACGGAACGGCGCTGAAAAAGTTAAACGCACAAATGCGTCGTGTTTTGCGGAATCAAAACTGCCGAGTTCACTTCCCTGTCTGGGCTTCCCGGAAAGGGAAATATAACGACAGATGGTTGTCTTTAATCTAGGTTCAGGTAAATAAGACAAACATTCCTGAACCGAACCTTCCGAATGATTTACTCGTAATTAATTTCAGATGTAGATCAAACACAGCCGACTGCGATACACTTGGAAATCAATGGGTGATTCGCGACCCTTCCAGCCCGCTGGCGGCGGCCGCTGTTGCGTGACCGGCGCATTGTGTGCTGATGATAGCCCTCATTGGCGTCATTGGGGGAATTTACGCCGCGCCCCACCGCCGAAATTGCCGCCGGTGGACGGTGCCAAATGCCCCAATGAACCGGCCATCAGCCAAGATTTATCACGAGTCGGGACCGAGAGTGTAAAAAGATGAACCAGAGTCGCAGTGAAAGTGCTGTATGGTCGGATTGGCAGTGGATATTCATAGCTTTCTAGAGATTTTACTGCCGCAGCTGAAACTCCGAGCAAAGTGCCGCTACAGTGCACCAGAAAAAAGCACAGCGCAGCACAGAATCGGACTGCCCCGTCACCCGTACCGTCCTCCCAGCCGCGCCGTCTGCCGGAGGTGTGCGTCGATCAGGGGCTCACCTGGGCCAGATTCCAGTGTTTGGACGCCTTGGCGATCGGATCTGTGACGTGCGTGCACGCCGCCCCGAACAGCACCATCTTGTGCGACCCGTTCGACATCATGTCGAAGAACGCCTTCATCGCCACAGCTGAGCTGCACTGAAATCACAAGAGGCGGAACAACGGGTCACAATAGTGAAACGTCATATGCTAGGGAGTGAGGTCAGCCCATCAACTGAACAAGGTCAAGCTGAGCCTTCGAATGCCCTTGGAGAGAGTACTCGGTACTCCACAATCAGCACGCTGGGTGACCATCGAAAAACAAATCACAATGGCAACACACGATGCGCAGACTATTTTGTATAAATACCCTGCCAGCTCGTTTTGTAAATCGACCCGGCGCGGCGGTGGGGCGGCGGCAGCTCGTCACTGGGGAGACAGCGGCAGCAGCGGCACCGTCCGCCGGCACCGCGGCGAACAGTGCACACTTCATTTCCGCCACCTGACTGGTTTCATTTGTGTAAGTGATGATGGCAGCAAAGATGGCCGACGGCAAGGAGGGAGGGGCGAGCAGACCGGTATTACGGCCCGGCCCGGAGAGGAGTGGTGTCAGTTCACGGGGTCCACGGCAGGAGTGGAAAGAATTCTAAGCAACTTGGAACTTCCTTAATATTTATCTATGAACGTGGGACCTTTGAAAGTTTCTGAGAACTTTATGAAGTTAGTTTAGATCAGTAAGTCGCAACTAGTGGATGCCAGCTAACGTAATATTTGGTAAATGTTGAAGCAAGATCTCTTTGAACTATAATAAACCTAGTTGCCAAGTAGCAACTGCAACAGAAACCCCATTCAATTACAGTTCTTATCAAGGTATTGCTGACGGATGCACCATACAGCCTCATCCTTTTTTTTAATCACCAGCCAGCTCCACCAGAAAACTCCCAATCAGGATCTACAGCAGTATGTAGGCTGAGACTGTCCAGTTCCTTGGAGTCCATTAACGCTCGTTAAGACGGGCCGACCTGCGGACATCCGCCGCCCGCGGTGCGCTGACCGGCCGCACTGCCGACCGCTCAGCGGACATAACCGAACTCCGTGTCCGGGCCGGCTGCTGATGACCGTTAGGGGCGTGACCGGGGCGCGCAATGAGCCCCCCCCCCCCCACCCCACCCCCAACCACAGCTCCCAGCGGCGCCGACAGATTCCGACCGGGAGCCAGAAGTTGAGATCCGGCTGCTGCAACTTGCAGTGGATCGTAAGCGTGAGTTATGATCGGTCAGAATGAACGATGAGCAATAACACTACCGATGCGCGGCCAGGATTCATTTCTCATTTGGCGTTGGGCCGAGTTGGACGGTTGGCGGTGTGGCGGTGCCATGAGGGGATGATGGTGTCGTAAGTCCGACAGCGTAAAACAAATTCGTGTCCGGGTTGAAGTCGTTCGTGGCGCTGTAAAGTGTCGAACGTGACGGCGGCTGGAGCGGGTTCCGGCCCATCGTTCCGGCCGCGTCGGGCCGTTTTATGCAACACGGGACAGCACGGTGCACGGCCGCAATCGAGTTCCCGAGTGGAGTGCGCCGTTTATTGCGTGTCCGGCCGGGGAGCGCACGGTCAAATCAGTGGCGTCACTCATCGGGCGACGCACCTGTCCGACGCACGGCTGCCGGGTGCCATAAAACACACATCCAATATCACTGGCCGTCAATGGGGCGCTGTCGGCTGCCGTTATCGAAATAGTCCCATGTTACTGGCCGTCGGTGGCCGCTCACATTGACGGACCCAGTGGTGCACGCTGCACCACCGCGGCGGCTCGATAAATCGAACGGCCGCCGCCCGCCATCAGCCGTTATGCCTCGGGTTTGTGGCTGGCGCTGGTAGGCTTTTACGCCCCTGGCAGGCGCTACTCCCCCCCCTCGTCGCGACCCCTCCCACACACGGCGAAAGCACCCGTCAGCGTACACAATGGCCACATAGAGACGGCGGCTTCTGGGGGCAACAGTTCCACCCTGTGGTAATAGCGCTCAGTCATATACGGCTCCGCAAAAGTAGAAGCAGCGGTAATAGCAGTGGCAGTTGTAACATTAGCCTGCAGTGGCAGCGGGGCACTGTGGCAGCAGTAGCAGGAGCGGCAGCAGCAACAGTAAACGGTTTTGCGTGTATCAGAATTGCTGAAAACGGTCTTATTCTTCTGTATCTCAGATCAGTTGTTTAAAATGTAATAAAACGTTTATCAAAAGTAACCTCCAATATATTGAAACGCAAGCCCATGGTGTCATCAAGTCCGCAGTATACCTCCCCTCCTCATCCGGCACTGGATGTCTGCGAATTCCGTCACGGCCTCTCAGCCTGGGCGGAGTGTCTCTGTACCGGGGAGAGCGCGGTCATTGGTATTCCGGCCGAGCCGATATGGCCGGCCGTGACCGGGGAAGGACGCACTGCAGCAGTGTGTGTCCCGGCTTATTCTCGACGGTCAGACGAGATTCGGTCATGGTTATCCAGAAATCGTGTGGAACTGAATAAAGGACGCACTTGAGAGGCATTGCAAACAGATTGGAGAGTGTGCCGCGAGTTCGTGACAAACCTGAGAACGAAAACAGTACAATAACAACGATGAACGGGGAAAATTGGTTCTAGGGCTTTGAACAAATCAGGCCTTACCTACATACAGCAAGGGAGTCTGGTCTCATTCTGACATTCAGCCCAGCACCGCACGACCCTCAATCAGCGAACGATAGACTCTGTTTTGGGAGCTAGTTAGTGGTAAAAGTCGTGTAATAAAATGCTTATTTTTGTTGATGTGGTCAAAGCTGGCATTTGCACACTGACCAGGCACTCATAGATGTGAACATGTTTAGTTGGATGTAACATCAGTTATCGTGCTGTCGTCACTGAGGGTCCGCTCGTACACGGCGCCCTTCTTGAAGCGTTTGCGATGAGCGGCGGCCTCCACGTCTGCCACCGTCTCGGGCATCGGTCTGCCGGCCGTCTCGGGCAGCAGCAGGGCCGCCAGGCTGGCCAGCAGCACCACGGCGCCGAACACGGCCGACGGCGCCAGCTCGTGCAGGCCGCTCACCAGGTCCACCACGAACGGCGAGACGGCGCCGCCGATCCGCGAGGCCGTCTGCTGGACGCCGAGCGCCAGGCCGCGCTGCTGCGTCGGCATGAACTCGGACACGTAGGAGAACATGTTGAACGCCGCCGAGACGCTCAGCTTTCCCACCAGACCCAGTACAAGCCACAGAGTGGCGTCCTTCTTGATGAAGACGAGGAACATCGCCATGGCCGTTGTGAACAGAAAGGTGATGAAGCAGCGACGCCGACCAAACCGGTTAAGCAGTGGGTAGATGAAACACGCAGGAATCTCCACGACTCCCGACAGCGCTACCGCTAGGTGAGGACTCGTGCTCAGCTGTGACATGTCGAAGGAGATGCCGAAGTATGAGCCGGCTATGGCAAAGCCGATGTACGTGCTCGCCAGGGTGTATCTGCGCATCCGCGGCGTCCGCACCAGGTCGAGCGCGCGCTGAAACGCAGAGTCTCGGCTGTCCCCCTTCAGGGCCTCCTCGCGAGCGATCAAAGTCTGGCGCACATCGGACATCATCTTGAGCACCTCGTCGTCCGACGGCATTGTTCTGCGGTTCCAGCGGGCGCCCTGACGCAGAACCTCCAGCGCCTCAGCGAACCGACCCTGGACGAGCAGCCAGCGCGGCGACTCGGGCATCAGCCAGAAGTTGGGCAGGAACAGCAGGCATGGGACGGCGAACGCCAGCTGCAGCAGCCAGCGCGTGCGGATGCCGTGCGACGCGGCCGCCACCAGCATGGTTCCGAACGAGAACGGTAGGAAGGTGACGGTCGTCAGTGCCGCCCGGTGCTTGCAGCCGCTCAGCTCTGTCACCAGCACGAACTGGCTCGCGATCATGGAAGCCATGCAGAAGCCCGTGACGCCACGGATCACGACGAAGCTGACATAGTCGTCCACCAGCGCCGCGGAGAAGGAGCAGGCGATCACGAGCAACATCACTGGCAGGAAGACGGGTCGGCGTCCGAACCTGTCCGTCAGCTGCCCGCCGAGCAGCGAGCCGACGATCCCTCCCAGCATCAGCACAGACTGCAGCATCGACAGCATCGGCTTGCGGCCGCACACCAGGTTCCACTCGGTCACCACGGTCGACTCGTACATGGACGTGTCGAACACCCAGCGCGAGCAGGCCACCCCGGAGGCGTTGGTCTGGTGACACTGAGGAGTACCCTCCGGCAGAGACTCGAACGTGGCGTTGGTGTCGAGCCCGTCAGCGCACTTGAACGCCGGCGTGGCGCCGATGAACATCATCGACATGGAGAAAGACGGGAAGATGAGCCACATGACGGACATGTAGCTGATCAGCATCACCTGCCAGCGCCCGGTGCCGCAGCACCGCTCCAGCACGTCTTCAAACACCACAGCGGCCTGTCCTCTGCTAGCTTCGTCAGTTACCAGCTGTAACATCTCTTTGTCGGGTCCTGTCATCTTCAGAGAAGCCACTTCTTTTTCCGGCAGTTTGTTCCTCGCGTTTCTGTGTGCTCTCTCGGCGGACGAGTGGCCCTTTGGCGGAGTTGTCCGACGACCTGTGACCGTCTCGGCGCTGAACGCTCGGGCGACTGAGGATGGGCCCACGCGCTGACTGTCTCAGCTACATACCCACCGCTTATAATGATCTCCTGTCACTCAAGACTGTTTGGCCGACACGGCAGGAGGCAAACACAGTCCAGAACTGGTAATCGACCAAGACATTATGCTTAGGCGTTTAAAACACAGTTAACTCTGCAGAAGGCAAAGATGTGTTTGTTTAAGAAGATCCGGCGCTAAAACGTCCTAGGCTGCTAGTTTATCAATGCTGTGGTAAGTGCCAATGGTTAGCGAACATTCGCAGCGCAACGAACATTAGGTGCAAATATGAGCGACGAATAAATATGTGCTAAAAAACAAGTTTCAGACTCATTAGGTGTGATAAAACTCATCAGCCTCGGAACGGGTTTTCGCAATTGTTTGCAAATATTTGCAGATCTTATTTTCGTTCATTCACCTCTAATCTATCCCATTCCCAAATACGTACCGATCACCGTAAATTGCATGATACCCTTTCGTTATACAAAATTCAAAGACATCCCAAAAACATTTTCGGAAAAGACTGAATATAAAGCAAAACAAATATCAAATCTGCCTTAGTTAAAAGCCCAGTAAATAACTGAAGGCTTATTACCAATAACTAGTAACACCGTTCGTTAAAATTTGTCTTCAACTGAAACAGATTAATAACAACTAAACACTATGATGAGCGTTGAAAAACAAAATGATTTACATTTCTATTGCGCATTTCGCTACTACTCCGTTGGTGTTAAGATGTCGCAATGCCGTGACGCGGGGTCGTCAGTAGGCCGCCGCGCTCGGAGCGCTGCATTATTTTCTCTCCGCCGGGACACCCGTCGAGCTGGGGAGGGGAGGGGGAGGGGTGATGGGCGCGACAGAGCGTCCCACCGGCGCGCGGCGCCGTCCCCGATCATCATCGCCGCATCTGCGCCCGGCTCGCTTTTGTGTCGCGAAATGGACTGGCCGAGAGCTCCGGCAAAAAGGCAACGCCCCAGAGGGAGGCCATTAAAGCTGGGAATTGAACGATTGTAGCCGGCCCGCAGCTCGAACAGAATTTGATCGTGCGATCCGCTGTGGTCTCCGATGGTAGTCCAGATAGCGGGAAATCATTGAATAACGCAGCTGTACGTATCATAGGCGGATGAAATATCGCGGATGTATGATGCTGGCGTCCCCTTAGCACGCTTAAAATGCACTAGCATTTAGTAGGAAGTGGGTAAATTGTGGTGAATATATCTGCTAAGTCTTAGAAATAAGCAACGTAAGTGATATTAAAGCAACAGCTGTTGCAGGATTTTACCAAAAGCTTTTAAAAACCTCTCAGCATTGTCTCTAAGGAAGTTGCATATCAAAATGGCTCACTCCACCGGAGAGCAATTTCCCTACATCCCCTGGAGTGTTTGCTAAGCTGATAAGGCTCTGATGAACATTTTCAACACCGGCCACCTAATGCTGAAGTGCATTAACATCTCAAGTTAGGGCAAAGTTTGTCGCGCTGACGGGCTCCGCTCCATTAGCCTGAGCCGCTCTTCGCGTCGGCTCTCCACCTGTCTTGTCTGCTGTGCCGCAACACACCAAAGTTCGGCGGCGCAGTCTACCCACGCAGTAGGTTAGCCGACCGGCGACGACTCGCCGCACGGGCAGTGTTTTTCGCAGTCATTGACATACGGGAGCCGTTTCGCACCGGCTGTCGATCGGGTGAGGCTCCGCGGCGCTGGCGGTGGAAAGCCTCGGCCGCCGGCGGAGAGCTGGCACCTTTTTCCGGCCGGTGGCTGGTCGCTGTATAATCAGACAGCGCGGCGGGGGCCGGCTGGAGCGGCCGATTTGTCCGGCGGCGGCGGCGACAAATCGTCTGTCCACAAATCCCCCCTCTACCCCCAGGATGTCCCTGGGGCCGCCGGCGGTCTGCTCCACACTGGTTAGGACCGCCACCGGCCGGCCGGGCGGGCGCCCAGCCATGACCACAATTATAGGCGATATATAATGCAGCGGTGGGCGGGAAAATTGGCACGGTGATAGCCGTCCGGGCGCATTTAATCAGGTAGTAGTACTACGGAGGCAGTCTGGGCTGTTCCAGACGCCGTAGAAGCCACCATTGTCCACTGGTTAAGTGCAGGCTAGACCATGCATGTGTGAGCAGCCGATTGCATTAAGGGAAAACTGGCTGCAGACTGGGTGGTTCTGAGTTAAGACTTTTGTTACATTCACATTTCAAACGTCACTGAAAATTCCGTTGGTCTCGTTAAGTGTTCTCGAAATCGAAGTAAAAGACAACTCGCCTTCAACACTGGTCCTCACTTAGCGTGGACAACTTTATAATTATGTAATCACGCCAGAACTGTAAAGAAAGCAAATTAGATTGACATTTCCCAGGCTTACCGGGTTTTGGCGTATTCCGCCATGAGCGACCAAAGTTTCCTAGATCAATCAGAAAATGGCTGTCGTATCCCGAGTTTGTAGCCGTTGGGAAGGCCGGCCGTCTCTGGGGAGGCTGGTGCTGACGTCATTGGGCAGCGGCGCGTGCCGAGCAGGGGGGAGGGGGCACAGCCGCCGCTGAGGGGGGAGTGTATCACAGGAACTGCCGGGCCAATGTAGTGTATCACAGGGCTCAGGACTCGCTGGGCCATACAGGAGCCACATGGCTAGAGAGAAGGTAATGTGTATCACAGGAGCCGTCGGACCAGGGAAGGATCCTAGGCTAGTGTACCTATCACCAGGGCTGCGGAGTCGGAGTCGGAGTCGGAGTCGGAGTCGGAGTCGATTTTAGAAACCCGAGCCGGAGTCGGAGTCGGAGTCACCGAAAATCTGTCGACTCCGCAGCCCTGCTAGGTCTGCGGAGTCGGATTCGGGAGTTGGAGTCGGTCGGAGTCGACAATTCTGCCCGGAGTCGGAGTCGGAGTCGGAGCTGGTTTTTGAAAGCCCGAGTCGGAGTCGGAGTCGGAGTCGGAGTCGCCGAAAATCCATCGACTCCGCAGCCCTGCCTATCACAGCTGGGGTTTTCTTAGATGGGACGTAATGCATATTTGCATGGAATCTCCAGGGGAAGAGTGTGGAATAAATTGAAACGAAGTAGGAATCTCCACATGAGTCAATATTTTCCCCTATAACTATGTAAGCCGACATAATCATTTCTGATCAGTTCGGCATGCATAGGTCTACTGGGATGCCGCGTATATTTCTCAAGTAACGCTCGGTGCCCTGGAGATGAGTAAGAGGCTCATAAATCGGCACCGGGCGGCGGCTCGTGTGTTAGTTATACTGGTAGCACCCGACGCCAGTAGGGATTGCTGTCCGACTGATTGGTAAATTGGTATTAACAGCTCCTTCCGTACGGCGTCTGGCCATATACATACTTACGGCTGCTAGGTGGCGCACATTGTATCGGCCGTGGCATCCATTATCTAGATTACAATGGTGCTGGACGCGGGACGGACCGGACCGAGGGCCGCTGCATGCAGGCACAGACGTACGAACGGGGAGCGCCGGCACGGACACTGCTGCATGACTGTCAGCGAGCTGCCGTCAGGAGAGCGGCGAGGCTATCAGTTCTCAAGGCGATAAAAAGATACTCAAAATTGTTCTATATTAGCCAGTAAATATAAACATGTCTATTCAAGTCATTAATATTCTGACGCATGTATCTTTTATATCATTTTCTCAAGAAGAAGTGACAGGACTGGGACTTGCCAATTCAGCACGCACACAAATATCAGCTAATCGAGGAACATGTCCCACAAACTCCAATTTAAGTCGCTGAACTGTTCACCAAGACTGCACAAACAGCCAACTAGAGCTAGTGTTTGCGGGTTAACGAAGTCAACAGTGCGTAACTAGTGCTGAATCATTCATCGTCGCCATCGCTGTGGCGGGAGCTGACCACTGTTGTCGGTCCATCGACCCGCGTCCCCCCCCCCCCCCCCCCCCCGTCCCCCCGGCGGCGGCCGAGGGCCACCCACTTGGCCCCGAGTGCGGTGGCCGCTGACCAATACCGCCGGTCGACCCGATCCGCGCCACCAGACACCGATATACTCGACACGAGCACGGCGAGCCGCGACCTGCAGTGGCGAGCCCCGGCCCGGGGCACAGCAGCCGCAGCGCGTCTGTGTCTGTGGTGTTTTATGGAATACAAGGCGATATCTCACCGCGGCTCCGGCTGACCAATCAGAAAACACAGCTGGTTTTGCAAGAATATACAATTTGCAAGAAACATCCTGTGCAAATGACTGGATAGAAATCCAGACTCAACTAACGCGCCGAAAATTGTCACCAACGCTTGATCTTTCACAAATGATTTTTTTTTTTGCATAGATCACTGTTTCCAGAAATGCCTTGATACCTAAAACAGCATTTCACCTGGCGAGCCACAAGCTGGCGCTAACGAACGGCAGCTCGTTGGTGGCGTATTTACGGCCCCGGACCAGAACCACCGGGTTCACACGGCGGCCAAATCGCTTCCGACGGCTGGATGCGGCCACTTTCCAACGGAAACAATTACCCATAGATGCGGTCTCATCAATCTCACCGATTGAATAATTTAACATGAGGCATTACCAGTATCCTCCACACAGGCATGCAACAGGGTAAATGTATGCGCACCCATGTCCATCACTGTTGACGTGAGTGTTTCTGATAGTGAGATACACGTAATGCATTACTGAGATGTAAGAGGTTGAATGCTACAGGCTCTAGGCACCAGAGTCTTCTCAATAAACTCGACTCTCTTCACGAAATTGTTTAATTCAGTAAACCTGAGGACTACGCTTTTGTAAGTTTTACAACAAATTCGCGCTCCTTCTCCCAAACATGTGGGAAGTATTCATGCAAAATAAAATGAAAGTACCTAAATGCAATAGGACTGTCGTAATCTAATGGGAGCATTTGTATAACAGGGGCGGTGCCAAAATCAACAAACAGCAGGAGAATGTGCCATAGCAACGCAATCTTTCTTCATGTTCATGCATCAATTGATGTATTTTTCAGGCATTTGTTTTTGTGTAAC